CCCCAGCAGCAGAATGGCCCTTATGCTGTAGGTCACAGTACCCTGCTTGAACCTTCCCGTTGCAAGGAGGAATACAAAGGTTCCTATTGCACACTCCTTCCCATAAGGAGTCTCTAAAGCCCAACGCGATCCAGCTTGGAGACCTTGAGAACCTCATCGTGAGCCACTCTTCCCTTTTTGTCCTTCAGACATCCCAAGCTTAGTCCTGCATGAAACATGGCACTTGCTTCTCTTGCTTGGGACACTCTCCTTGATTCTTCACATGGCTGAATCCTTCGTATTATTGAATTTGTTTAGAATTTTCTTTGTTCTCTCTGCAGCAATTAGCTACAACAAGAAACACACTATTTCACCAAAGTGGAAGTGTTTTCAAGTCCCTAGTTTGGATGAGAATAGATATATAAAACATGGTACTGATTCGCAAATAACGTGTTAGGGCTGTGAGCCAGAGACCACACGTCTTAGTGTCTCAGGCTAAAGAAGGAGATTAGAGAGCATAGACTTGCCTCATTCTTTCTTCCCTTTCTGTGAGCTGCTTGGGCTGCCCTAGGGAGTCAGGGGCATGTGATAACAGAAACAACGGTCTGATGTGGAAGCAGCTCATTTCAGCCACCAGCTGGAATAATAGCTTGTGATTTTTTAAAAAGCCTTTTTCATACAATTTTCAGTAGCCACACCATAGAGGGAAAGGCAATAAATATGAGTCTCTCCTCCTTTGAAGTTGCTGGAGAGCGTGCTAATGTATTAAAATATCACATGCTGACATTTACCTTAATAAAGGGCTTCTCTTAAAAAGTCAGATATTGTATCTGGGGCACACTCCTGTTTTCTTAGAAAGTACTAACATTTTAGTAAATGATACAATCCTTCTTTCCTTCTCCCCTTTTATACCCTCTACTATGTCTTATCAACATCTAGTAACATTGTTCTGAGTAGCTAAAGCCCCTCTCTTAAACAGTGGAGTTTTTAAAATCAAAAAATGCTTTGGGGGATTTTCTTTGTTTTGCATCTACCAACTAGCCCCTCATTTCAAGTTTCTTTTTAATATTGTGAAATTATGCCTTAAATTTTAATCATTTTGTTCTTATCTGAGTTCAGGGAGTTGGGGACCTGAGAGATGCTGACACTTCTATCCATTAACAGCTCTCCAGGGCCATTTTCCACAGGGGTAATCTTGAAAAAAAATGAATGCTCCAGAAAATATGAAAACTACAAGATGGCCAAAAGCAGCCAGAGGGTGGTCATGTGGTGGAGGTGAGATGATTCTGGTTATATTACCTTAGTGGTCAGATCACTAATTGGTTTCATGAATGTCCCCAGAGTCCTCTTACTAGTGGTTGTCCGCACTGAAGAGGGAGTTAGGGTCTTGTCTAGAGCTGTTGGAAGAACAAAGCAAGCAAATCACAGGCCCCATCATTGCAGCCACCAGCAATGATTCATGATACTGTGGCAGAGTTGCTCACAGTGCTAGAAACCCTTCCTTGTCAAAAAGGGCAGCCCCTTCCAAGGAAGTCAGGAGAGTCAGACAAATTCAGATTCCCTGATAATTCAGGGTTTGCATTTTCAGTGCAATCAGGATAGCCTGCCTCTCCTGGTCCATCCCAACTTCTCAGCTTCAAAGGTAGAACCCAGTCCCCTCATTTGCAATGGAAATGTGAATAGCCTGCTTTGCAAGCTGCGCGAGCTCTCTATGCAAAGCTTAAAAGGCAGTCTTCTTTCCTCATCATTTGAGCCAGATGAGGCCAAAGGCAAAAAGATCTGGAGCTTCAGGGCTGCTGATGAAAGAGAGGCTACAGAAGTTTGCAATTTTAATTTCAGGATTCAAGTTGACAGTAATGATGGTTAATGTGGGTTAAGAGAATTCTGCTGCTTGCAGGAATCAGTAATGTGGAATGATGGTGTGCCTTGGCAAATGACTCAATAATAACACCCTACTTATTCTTTTCTCTTGCTCTCATATTTTGTGGTTCCACCTTTCCAAAAACATATAGGAGTTTATATTATGTTTTTATGGAAGTAAAATTATGAAAATATTATAAATGAATTATGTACTTATAGAGAGTTTGGAAAGTATGTAGAACTACAACACATAAAGTAAACCAGTCTTAATTCCCAGCAGATGATCAATTTATTACCTTTACATGTTTAATTCATAGTTATCTTTTAAACATACATTAAGTTTTAAACTCAGCTTTTTTTGCCTACCATGAAATTGTTAATCTCATTGCTAAAATGTACCATTATGAACAAAATCAGTGGGAGGGAGAGAACTAAAAATGTGTAAGAGCAAGTTAGCATTTTTATTCTGCCTCCATTTTTCATCTCTTTGAAGAGAATCAAAATTTAAAATCCCTTCCTGCATATAAACATGGCGACTCACATATCAGAATGCTGTTTCTCTTGCGGCCACCATGGTGTAGTTCAGTGGTTGCCTGGTCTGGAGCCTGAGTAGTTTTCAAGTGTCTAAGAGACAAGAGTAACAGAAACTCAGGAAGTGCAGTCGTAGTCAAATAGTATTTTGGTGGCTACTGGGCTGTATTTTCCTCTGACGCTTACTTGCATCATGTGTCAGTCTCTGACATTCGTGTTGGGTTACAGCATATAACAGTATTCCTTTAGTGGATCCACATTTTAAGAACCATTTAGTAAAGAATGGGACGGAGTGTTTTGGTTTCCAAGAAAGTGATCAGATATACACTTAATTATGCTGTAAATCACTACCAAAAAAAGAGAGAGAACTCTTATTACAAATATTTGACATCCATTCCATCTTTGGATACAGGAAATAACTCACTACCACTGATCATGTGGTCCACTGTGCATGCATATTATGATTCAATGAAATTATTTAAAAATTGCTGCTTCTGGCCAGCCAAATAGAGTGATAAGATTGAGGAAGGCATTTCTAAGTCTCTTATTCATGACAAACATCAGAATGTGGGTAATTCCAATCTGCTGAGCAGCTGCAATTCAGGCCAGAAAGTGCAAAGTACACCTAAGCATTTTACAGTTAACTCTGATTCATTATTACTCATGAAAACCGAGCCGGGAGCCTTAAAGGAACAGGAGCCCTGGGTCATCCTCTGCTTCTTTCCCTGATACTTGTGACCCCCCATGTTAAGTTTCTCCATGGCTAGCTCTCTTCCAGGAGCTGTAATGAATAATTCTGGGTGTCCATCAGCATCTATCAGATCCGCTCTCTGCTCTGCCAATGCATAGTGCCAGCTGCCATCCTGGGGAAACTTATAATTCTATGTGTCCATTTACCTGGAAGTCCAGTTTATTGGAAGTTTGTCATTCCTTAGTTTGTAAAAACACTATCCATATCCTACACTGTGTGATTTTTTTTTAAAGTTCATTATGTATTACAATGCAGTATTTCATGTTCCAAAAAGCCATCTTCTTAGAAAATCAATGTCATATATCATACATAAGGTATACAGGCTGTTTGAAACTTGTGTCTACATCTTGGGAATCCCTGTGGCTTCTAGACACCACAGATTTGTAAACTGAGAAGGCTGAATATGGAATCCATTTTTCATCACCCATTCTATCATTTTGTTAGGGCAATTGAATAGTTGCTAAACAAGTCTGGTTTAGTCTGGGTGGGGCATTCTTTGGTGCTGAGACGAAAAGATGCACAGATGCACTATTTTTTTTCCTTTTTTGTCAGGGAGATAGGTCTACATATAACATTTAAATGGACCCTAAAAAAATTTGTTACAATTACCACTGACAAGTCCGTATCTATTAAATCAGTGACCCCTCTCCTGACTAAGGACTGCCTAGATAACACCCTAGTGATTTCCTTTGATTTCCTAAACCATATAATCTCTATCCTTATTTTAGGTCCTTTCTAGCCTTTAGAGCCTTCTACATATGTGGGGTGTTTGTCCATGGAACGTAGCCCCACTCCTGCCCCTCTGCTCCAATAGTTGTGCAGTGGCCACACTCATCTTGCTGCCTCCACCTTGTCTTATCCCAAAATGTCTTTCATAAGCTCCCTAGTGACCCTTAGCATCATGATGTCTTCCTCTTGCCTAGAACCTTCAGTAGCTGCCCATTGCCTGCAGCCTGAATTCTCAGTTTCTTAAATGTTCCTGATGTTCCCGCCTGCTTCTTCAGCTCATTGCTCACACCCTCTGTTCTGCATGTATACTGTTAGAATCCCAACTCTTTGAGCTTTCTCCACAAGGGCTGTAAAAATAGCTGTATGTCCTTCTTAATGTTTTCTGTGACTCCTCACACTCTTGTTTGGATCTTACCCTCCCGTGTTCACTATTCCTTGAAGCTCTCATCTACTCTAAGAGTGTGACTGAAGCCTCTCGATTGTGCTCAAGTACTGACTGCATGAAGGAATGACTCTTAGTACAGGCCTTCTGTTAGAGGACATACTCGAATCAGGCAGCAAATAGAGATGATCTTTTTGACCATAACTCCAGAGCTCCTATGCAGGTCAAATTTGAATCTTGCAGGCTACATTTTATTCCCACTGTTGTATTAGATTTTTCATTGTTTCATCAGAGATGTAAAGTAATCATCTTCAACAGTTCCTCCAATAAAGTACATACTACTAAAATGTGATGTTTTAAGATAGTGCATTCACCATTGCTATAGTTGTCCACTATGTGATTATTCTTCTCATTCTTCACTTTATTTCACCATTAATTTACCTCGTTTTGTCCCCAAACCTTTTCTGAACTCGATTCTTCTTCCACACTCCAAAATACTTGAAAGTGACATTCATACTCAGAAAGATCCTACCTGTGGTGAATAAAACATGGAAGACTGCTGTGATATTTGGTTACCCTGTATTACACTTGTTTGATGAGTTGGCCACCTGTCTCTGTAAAGTGCTAGATAATAAATATTTTTGACTTTGAGGGCCATATAGTTTCTGTCACAACTACTTAACTCTGCAGTTATAGCAGGAAAACAGCCATAGACATTAAGCAACACATTGTGGCTGTATTACAACAAAACTTTATTTACAAAAACAGGTAGCCCTGGACCACTGTTTGCTGACTCCCTGGATCATTTGGAGACTGAGTTCTGTGGAGGAAGATTTAGTGAGGTTCAGTTCAGGTACAGAAACATTTTCTAAGTAATTTGTTCTCAGAGAATAATTCTTCTAATTATACATGGCCCTGAGGTAAGTACTTTGGAGGATATTTGTACCATACTTTATTGTGCACTTTTATCAGAAACAGAAGCTGGGAATAAGATTATATAAAAATTTATTTGCTTTAATAACAGCTTTCACAGCTCAGCATATCAGGAGTTATATCCTAAGTGAACCATAAATTTCTGTATCTGCCCTGGCAGCCAGTAATGAGAGCTATAAATGTGTTCATGCTCCTTACCAGTAGTACAATTTTTAGCAAATATCTATAGCAATGATTCCAAGGAACAAAATCCCTTGTGTGCTTAATGATATTTAGAAAAAAAAATGTTCATTAACACTAAAATTCTAAAATAACCCAGTTGGGAAATGGAATTATAGCATGGGAGAATTCCGTAGAACTTTTTTATGTGGTGATTGTGTGAAATGTATTGCCCCTTGGAAATGTGCACATCAAAAATTACAAGTGTGAAAAGTCAAGTGGAAGGGTATGTTTACATGATCTCAAACATAAGAATCAATATACATGAATTCTGTCATTTGGTATTCAGTAAATATTTATTAATAAGAGCCTATTATGAGCAAGTCTCTGCTTTAAGCATTAAGAGTACAGAAATGAATAAACTAGACTCAAATTTATGTCCATGTGGAGCCAAATTATTCCCTCTCATGGGAGGGAGACAGATATTGAGGATCAAAGAGATTTTAGCAGTTGATATATTTGGAAATTTAATATCATAAGATTCTCCTCCATAAAATTGCTTATATAAAAAAGTTTTCTACCTTTGTTTGATAGATTTTATTCTTTAGGAATAAGAATTTCTCTGATCATTTCATTCAGCCAGCATTTGTTGGGATCTTACTCTGTGCCAAGCCCTCCTGCAGGCACATGGGATATGGTATGAACAAAACATATAAATCTATTCTCATGGATCTGTAGTCTAGTGAGGGGGACAGAATGTAAGACACATAAGTAAAACATATACAAGGTTAGATGGTAACTAAGGGGCAGAAATAAGTAGCAGAGCAGGACTCGAATGTTGGGAGAAGGCAAACTTTTAGATTGGGTGGTCAAGAAGGACTCTTTCAGAAGGTGACTTTTAGTAAATGGTTAAAAAAGATGAGTCTACCAACAGTGTTAGAGTGTTGGGAGAGGGAGCCGAAATTATTCTGGGCAGGGGGATCAGCAAGTGCAAAGGCCCTGAGGTAAGAATGTGCCTGGAGTGTTCCAGGAACATCAAGGAGGCCAGTGGCTAAAGCGTGGTGAGTGAAGAAGAGCAATAGGAAGTGAGATCAAAGAGGAACAGCAGATCAGATCACATGTGGCCTTTTAAGTCATTGGATGGTTTGTTGGCTTTTATTCCAAATAATGGGAAGACATCAGAAAGTTTGTGAAGCAAGGAGAGAGATGATCAGGTTTGTGCCAAAATAATTCCTGCTGTTATAACAGACTAGAGATACCAGGAGATATTAGGAGACTATTGTAAAAATCCTGGTGAGGACAATGGCTTGGACCAGCAGGTTAGGTAAGATAAGCATCTTGAGCTCTGGTGGCACAGAGAGAATAGAGGTGTGGCAGAGCCCACCTACCATGAAGGAAAAGAAACTCAGGAGAAGTGACCATTCCTTGACTCTTGACTATTGCCAAATTCCCACTGGAAGCACAGACACACATTAGGTGCTTAGCTTAGGTGGGTTAAATGTTGCAAACTAAAAATTTTTCTTTCATGGCTGTCTCTTGTTAGAGACACTCTCCTCACCACTTCTGCCCTCAGTCATTTTCCCTTCTCTGGTACTTTCTGTATGAATTAGCCCTTTCAGCATTTATTGGTGTCTTAAGGTGGCTTCAGTTTTCAATGATCTATGTTAAAATGACAGCATAAAAATTCCATTGAACCATTTCTTTCTATTTCATACCTTTATAACTGAAAGCACTACCATTGCCTTTCACTGGTAAAGAGCCTAAAACTGATTATAACTGAATGTAACATTTTTTTAAGGGAACAACTTAATTCATTATTGAAGACCTATAACATTTTTTATGGAGACCAGAAAAATCTGCACATTTCATATGGACAGGTAAGCCCATCAAAGAAATGCAATACAGTTTGATTCATAGAAAAAAAATTCCATAAAGGTATAGAAAAGTCAGGGTGAGTTAGAATCTATAATCTGTCAGCACAAGAGGTCTGGAGAAACAGGTAAATCTTTAACTTGATTGTGATTTTATTTTTAGACTATCATGAAAGCCCAATCCTGGAACTTCTGACTTTCCAAGCAGGTTTTGGGATAGGAAAACATTTAAAAATACTTTAAATGACATTTTTGTTTTGTATTTTACAAACAGCATATAAATATGTTTTAAACAGCAATTCCACTAGAAATACATCATAATGCTTTCTCACAGGTGCACCAGGGTGCAGGGAGAAGGGTGTTCATGATGACATTGTTTGTAATGGAGAAAATGTGAAGATACCTTATGTCTCTACCACTGGGGTGTTGTCCAAATAAATCATGACTTGTATCTGTAAGACTTTGACTTCGTTGCTAAAATGAATCAGATTTCAGTGAGTGTGTGGTATGTTATAATAACAAATCTGAAAATGCTAAAGAAACAGTTCAAAAGAGTTCTAATTGGGAGGCATACAAACTGGCCTTAGATTTTTCTTTTTTCTTTCTTTCTTTTTTTTTTTAATTTGAATGCCCCATCTCTCCATTCAGTCTTGTATTCTAACAGGCTCACTCCACATCTTTACAATATCTCCCTGATCACAGGGATCATTAGAATTTTCTACCTCTGACTTAAATTTTTTTAAATTAGAGGGAACAGGAATGATCTTAAGCCACTGTGATTTGGCTTAAATCTGCAGTTGAGACAGAAGGAAATTTATAAACTACTCAGAATTTTACTAGTGAGCTTCAATGATTTAGTTTGAATGGATATTTTAATTACCCTCCCAAATGTAATAATATACAGAAGAAGGAAGGACCTAATCCCTTTATAAATAATTGGACCTAATTTAAAATTATTTCCATATTGCCCTATATCTTAGATCTCTAAAGTATGTTATTATTATGTTATATATGATTTTAGATTTCTAAAATAACCATAAAAATATATAATTTAGGAAAAGTTCAAAACTTTAAGAAAATGATTCTAATTCAATAGATTCCACGAAACTCATGAAATTAAGAAATTTGTTTCCTTAGAAAAATGTTTGAATTTTAATGTTATGAATAGTTAGGTTGAGATGTCATTTCCAATTCTGTGAATCAGGGCTCAAGTGACAATACAAAAGTCATTTAATTTTTTTAAATTATGTTAATTACCCAATAAGGCTCTCATATTGCTAAGTCTTTCCATCTTCACTCACTGGTCAATAGACTTAGATCCAGAATTTTCCAGATCTTCTGACTTGGATCCAGATCTGGCAGTCCATGGAGGATAGAGTACTTTCTTAATCTCTGATTAATTAACTAAACAAATAGTTATTGTCTACCATGTGCCAGACACTCTTCTAAAAGCTGGAAATAATGCAATGAAGAAACTAGACAGAATGTTGTGTATTTACGAGGCTTACATTCTAGTAGACACACTGGAAACAAGAAAGTAAAATGTGTGGTAAGGCATTTGGTGACACGGGCTGTGGAGTATAGCAAAGTAGGGAACAAGGCTCAGGAATCTAAGTGGAGTTTAGGGAGAGGAGCTCTTGATGGAGGACCCAACAATGTGAGGGAGCACACCCTGCAGAAGACTGTGGGACACGCATTTCAGGCAGAGAGGGAAGCCTGAATGTAAGCCCAGAGCCCAGCTGGTGTAACCGAGGGACGGTATGGGAGGTGAGTGTAGCAGGACCCTTGGGGGGATGGGAATCAGCGGACCATGAAGCTGGAGACATGACTGACAGGTGAGGCGCCAGGGTATGAAAGGTCCCGAAGATCATTGTGAAGACTTTAGCTTGTGCTTGGAATGCGATGGGAAGCCACTGGGGAGTTTTAAGTAGAACAGTGACATTATCTCAAAGGATTTATTTTAAAAGGATCTCTTACTACTGAGAATATATGGAGGGGCGAGAGAAGAATGAGATAGACCAGAAAGAAGACTACTGTGATCATCTGGGCAAACAATGACAATGGCAGTAGTGTAGGCCGGAGTCGTGGTACTGGATGTGACGAGTGTGGCCATTTTAGGGATATATTTTTAAGGTAAAGCTAATAGGATTCACTGATGCACTGGTGTTGAGTACTAAAGAAAGATTAAAGGTGACTTTAAAATTCCTGGCCTAAGCAACTAGAAGCATGAAGATGCTGTTTACCCAGGTGGGGAACACTTAGAGAGGAAAATACTTACGGGAGAATGATCAAGAGTTAATTAGGAACATATTGTTTGATGCCAAGTTGGCAGCTTGACATCTAGATTCAGGGGGAAGCTTTGGAATGGAGATATAAAGTCAGGAGCTGTTAGTCCGTGGGTGGCATATAGGATCTTTAAGATCTTCAGGGATGTTGGTGGAGATCTAGAAGAGAAGAGGCCTAAGGACTGAGACAGTGAGATTAGATAAATGTAAACAAGCCTTCAGGATAACTTATTTAGTTAATCTCTAAGGAGATAACTTTTGAAATAAGACAATATTCTGATACTCCTTACAGGAGAAAATACAGCATTGTCTGGTAAGAGTTGGAGTATTTCTTCTTGAAAGCAAGAATTAGATAACCTCAGAATAGCAGTTATTATGAGTTTTTGATGTTAGGAATTAACTGAAGTATAATTAGGTAAAAAAAAAAAAAAGATAACTACACACTGACAACTAAAATGTAGACTCTGCATCTCATACTGCCATTTCAAGGAACAAATTATGTTTTGTTGTTAAACCTGATTGGTAACCTGATCTCTCAATAATCTGAAATGTGAACTCAAGAGTGGGAAAAAAGCACAAAACTTTGTTTTAGAAGTGATTCCAAAGTAGGTTTAACAGCTAAAGAAATAATAAACAATAAGGTTTACTGAATACATATTAAACCCCTGGTCCTATAAAATAACCATTACCATTCCTCAGGAGAGGCAGCTCAGGTTTAAAGGTGTTTGGCAGCTAGGAAGTGGCACAGCCAGAGTTGAAATACGGGTCTGTCTGATTCCAGAATCTGGAGTTTTCATTACACTCTCAAATAACAATTGGGTCACTGATGTTTTCTAAAAACTTAATTTTAGAATTTTTAAATTTCTATATTTTCTTAATTTCTATAAGAAATTTTTTAATTTCTATATTTTCCATATTTTCTATAATCACCTTAATTATATTATTACCTTAATAACAGAAAGGTTTACATATACAAGAGAAAAATAGATTAGAAAAAAATTCTACAGGACTGTAATATTTACATTCACAGAATAAGTGTTCAATCCATGCTTGCTAATTTTTCTTTGTTTGCCTGGACTTTCCTTCTTCTTAATATTTCCAACTTACAGAAATAACTCAAATGTTACTAATTGGTTCAAAAATATCATTTCAGTTATACATTTTACCTTGTGCTTTTACCTACATTATTTTAATTGTTCTGCATAATAACTTTGTGAGTTAAATGTTTCCTGTTAAGAAATGAGGAAACAGCCATTAAATATCTCAATAGCTGCTCTTCTGATTTCTAGTTTAGTATAGTGTTTAGTTCTGCTTTGAATTAAAACGGAATTAGAGAACAAAATTCCACTTAATTTAAAAATCAGAGTTCAGAAAGCATTTTAACATACTATGCCCTCTGGTGGGCATGTTTTTACCATTATGAATTTGCTGGTTATGGTTATTCTCAAAAATAAGTTTCAAAAGTAGAATTATTTTGTAGATAACTTAAAAAGTCAAACAAATCCTACCTAGCAATTTATTTTTTTATCTATTAAGACATCTTACAGACTTAATTTCTATACCTTACATTACAATATTTACCTTTTCTAAATAATAAAAAACAGTGTTTGAGATGACTGTTTCTTCCCTAGACTGGAGATGGTAAACTAATTGTTGAAGGAATGTTGGACATTTTCTGGGGAGTAAAACGGCCAATACAGCTGAAAATACAAGATGAAAAGCAAATCCCTTCTTTTACTGTGTTGAAGTCACCAAATGTCTTTTCCAAAAGGTAAGCTAGCTTTCATATTTTTGATTCCTTAGAAGATAATGCTTAAATTTACCTTTACTGCATATGTGCTCTGAAAGATGGGAATGCTAATGTTTATACAGTCTCTAATCTCCCCAGCAACTCTGAGAAGCAGGTGTTTGGAAAACAGGGTTTGAGAGATTAGATAATTCATAGAAAATCCCCAATTACCATGTAGCAGAACTGGACTGGATCTCAGGTCTATGGGCTCCAGAGCTTGTGCTCTTGATGTCTGTGCTGTATGGCATTTCTCCTGGAAGCCCCCACTATTCCTTCATTAGAAAAGATAAAATAAAGGCAAGATATCACTGGTCCTGGGAATAAAGTTTATATCTTTCCTCTTCTTGAAACAAAGGGCTCTTCCTGCTTTCTGAAAAGGAGACGTAATTGTGCTCTACCTGACTGTCCTGATGCTGTGTGCACAGCAAACTGCATTTGGAGCTCAATAAATGCACAGAACAGTTCTCTCTCTGCGTTTATGCAACCATACCTTAAATCAATTAGATGGGCTAATTGATTATTCTTTCATTATTCTTTACAAGTTTTAGAAAAATTAATAAATATTCCCAGAAGGAATCATGCACATACATCTTTTCTGTCTTCTTCCTCAATCCCTTCTTCCCCTAATTTTTAGTTGTTGACTTTCCAACTTGATTTTCCTCTTGCTTTACAAGATCTCCTTATACATGGGGCACCAAGCTTCTCCTCACCCGTGCTCCCATACCTAACTAGAGCTGGAATTCTGGCAGAAGAGAGGATAGAAAGGGAGCTGCCAGGATTTTTCCTCAGCCTCATCTCTGGCCATAACCAAAGGAAACTGGTATCATCTTGAGGGGAGCACCACTTTTCCTGTGGCAAAAACTAGAGCCCCACCAGGATGTGCACCATGCCAGTCTTTCTTAAACCTGATGCTCCAGCAATTCTGAACATTTTTTAATACCCTACACATACTGTGTGGTATCTTACTTTCCTGACTCAACCTGGAAGACCACCTGCTTCTCAACACTCCTTTGCCTACCTTTCTTCTACCAATTCGCTAAGATTCCAGGCAGGAAACAGAGAGCCTTTTCTGACGCGTCAGTTTGTACTAGATGCACTGACAACTTTTGCATATCACTTACAGAGCATACCATTAATTGCACTTTTATGCCTAAGAGCTCCATGAGGGTAGGGAGCCTTGTTCCTCTTTATTATCCCAATGCTCAGCAGCGCCACAAAGAGGGGATTCAAAAAATACTGAAAGAAGGCCCCAGAAGCCTGGTGGGTAAAGTACCTCTGCTCTGTGTGAGAACTGTCTCTCCACTGACCACGCAGCAGGGAGGCCTCAGACATACGCAGACTGATGAAACCCTGATCCCTCACCTTCAGGTACAAGAACACTGAATGGGGCCAATGATTCAGAATGACTATGCACATCATTTAAAAGGAGAAATTACCCCTGGGCTCTGCTTTCAGAAAACTGTATGAGATATGAACTTGGCAAAATTAGTATCATTCTTCACATTATCTAAGAACTCACTGCAAAGTTCTCTGAGCAGCCATCTACTTTCAATGCATTTTAATTCTTTGAATAATGAAAACTTGGTAAGTATGTAACATGAAGAGAAGATGTCAAGGAGGTGCAGTAAGGTACTTGTATTATCACATTAAGTCATCATAATTTTGAATAGCTATCCAAGTATTTTTTAATTTTTCAAAATAAAATTCAGAGCATTTGTTCCTAGAAATCCTGAATCTTAGGATGACCTTCAAGAGCCAGGTGGACAAGGTAATATTGATGCCCCTCCATATACTGTGGCAGATTATAAATTAATATTCTCATAGTGGGCCATCCACAGAACCATTTGCATTTTTCATTGCTTATCTGAACATTGCTGTGAATCAAACAGAAAGATCTCCCTTAGAGTTGAAAAAGAGTTTCCTAGAAAACTTTGCTTGCCTTTTGCCATAGTAATGAGACTTACTGGGAGAACATTTGAAGTGAAGGGCACACTTAAAGTGTATCAGATCTTTCTGGTGGGTAAGAAGTATTCGAAAAAGATCCTACTCCTCTCACACATGAGAACAAGATAACATTCAGTTGTGATTAATTGGCCATGGACCCTTTGTGGAAACCAGTTGAATGCTTAGCAGGAGGGTGTAACATAATTTAGGAATGGCTGTTCCTTGGCCCCTGGCTTCTTAGTGGGGTGCAGAGCCACTTAAGGTCCTAGTGCTGGTTTCAGTCCAATCCTGGAGCCCCTCACTCTGGTTGCCACCCTTATGGTGGCATCTGTTTAAATCCTGAGCCTCGAATGGAATTGTGTGAAGAAATGGACAGGTATCTCACCCTGGGACACCCCTCATGCTCCCATCCCATTATGGGCTCCTGTGGCAGGACATAGCGTCCTGCTCTCACAGGTGACAGGCGGGAGGTCTACAGGGTATAGATGTGGAATCACAGAGGTGGAAGGTGTATGCTCAGCACAGCAAGGGCTGCAGACTGTCAGTTTACCCTGAAAGAGAATCACTAGAGTGTCCTGCTAGTTGGTATTCATTATCTTTGAAATGAGTCATGCTGAGTCAGCTTAATGGGAGTAGTAAGAGCTTAAAAATAAAATCAGTTTCTTTTTTTACCATCTGTTACCATACAATGTTTTTGTCTGTTCATTTGTTTTTTATTGAACTGTTGTTGATATACAATCTTATATTGGTTCCTTCAAATATACAACACAGTGGTTCAACAATTACCCATATTATTAAATCCTCCCCTCAACTAATACAGCTACTATCTGCCAACACAGAAAGATGTGACAGAATCATTGGCTATATTCTCCAGTCTGTACCATTATTCCCATGCCCATTATGATCGAGAATTTTTGTGCTCCTTTATCCACCACTTGTGATCCTTCATAGAAATAATTCCATGGGCAGTATTTTTATCTCTCATACCTGGCCCAACTATTTTGTTTTGGAAATTTTTCACTAATAAAAACCAGCCTTATTAAGGTTATGTTTACTTGTGCCAGTGTTCATTTCTGCTTTTTTCTTTCAAGTTAGCTTTGGCACAGTTTGGACAAGTCGTGGCAGAATGACATAAAGAGCAGAAACTGGACAGGTGTGCATTTGAATAACATCAATAGTACTCTTTCTTTCTTACAATGAAGGTAGAGAAGTGACTGCATTGTATTTGTCTATCAAATTTCTACTTCCTTTTCATTTTACAACTCATTAGAGAAACCTCCCACAGTTTATTTGCTAATAGTAAACGTTTTGAACCTTGGTCAGAGCAATGCAAACAGTTCTGTGCTTGGGCAAGTTAAACTATTTCATATTATGTAAAGTTCTGACCCATTTTCTTTGGAAAACTCTGAGTAACAGCCCTCAAGTTTAGACATATGCACATTTTTATGTAGTGATACTTCAAATTGCACAGTCTTGAGCTGAAAACTGGTGTTTTCCACTAAGATGGTAGGGAAGGATAAGAGGTCCTAAACACTGCATATATTGAGCCACATTTGTCCCCTGGTAATTGTGTGACAACATTAAGCTGTAAGAAAGTGAGAACAGGTGTCAAGCATGCCAGGATAACCAAGAACTTATAGTTATCATGGGCCTGGCAATCTTGAGCATTCTATCTTCCCCCATATGAAATAGTAACAGGTTGTTTTGCCTTTTTAGTTTCTGTACTTTGTCTTTTCCATTTCTAACACTCTTCCCATGATAATTACATCTGCCTCTTTTTATTTATTAATCTATAGAGTGGGAAAATATGGATACTTTTATCTACCATAAGAATAACTAGATTCTGAATTAGGATCTAAAAAATTTTGTTTTGAGTTAAAAGTCCAAAAACTATAGGTAATAGCTATATGATGTTTGCTTTGACTGGCTAAATGCTGGATAGTAGAGCTTACTGGAAAATTAACAAACATATTAGGATTCTCTTAACTATTTCATAAGGCTATTCATAAAGCTCAAATGATATAAAAATTGTAAAAAGACTTCAAAAGAACTCAAAAATCAAGGAAGAAAGGATCATGTTTGTTCATATTCATTACTACTACTATGAATAAACATTGTTTTCTTGCAACCAGTGACATTTGGGTAGAGATAATGCACAAATTCCCTGTGGGTGAATATTTCTTGGTCCTAAGGAAATCAGACATTATGGAAGGGGCTTTTAGTAGGACTAAGACTGATCCAAGCAATAACAGAGATGGTGGCAATTATGAAGATGAGGATGGTCATAATTCTTAACACACACCATTTACTCTATAGGGCATTATTTCAAGAATTATATACATATAAACTCATTTAATCTTGTCAACAACCCTATCCTACCTTACACTATTATCATCCCCATTTTAGAGATAAAGACACTAAGGCACAGAGAAGATAAGTACCTTGTCTAAGGCTAGATAAATAAAGATGAGTTTTGGTCCAGGTGGTAAAAACAAGCAGTTGCCAGTGTTTGTTTGTTTTTACTCCAGGCATTAGAATTCATTGAAAATTATTGGTGTCCTATACAAATGATAATTCTCTATAAAAGAAGTTTCTCATACACTTTCCTTCTTTGTAAACTGCATTCCTCATGGGAGTCTAGGGCCTTAAAGACAGGCACCAGGTCTTGTTATTTTAGGGCCAGTCTACCTAAAAAGGCTTTGAATACAATTAGAATTCAATACATGTTGGCAGAATAAACACTTTGTATCTAAACTGTCCTAAGAGCATCCTGAACTATCTGTACAACATGGGTTATGTTGGTTCTACTGATTCCATCTGAACATACTTGTTATAAAATCTATATGACATTGTATTTCAGTGTGCAAATAAGTTATTGTGTCAAGATATGCTCAGCACAAGTATTTAAAACACATGCTGGCCATTCTAGTATAAATATAATCTTAATAATATAAAATTATTATAATTTAGGATGATATGTCTACTTATGTAGGCCCACAGTACTGTTAATTCTGTAAATCTGAAAAGCAGCATAGGCCTCATTATGAATGGAATTGATGTCACTTACAAGATTTATTACTTTTCAGGGGAATGACACGCTGGGGGGAATTTGATGATCTTTATAATATTAGTGACCTGGACAGGACCCAGATTCCAGTGTCTAATGCAATAGATTCCAAAGAAGGTCAGTATCAAACTCTTTTTAATGGGGAAACTTTTTTTTTAAATCTCTTAGAAGCATACTAACTTAAGTCACTACAGCACTCATATGATATTTAATAAACTTTCTTTACTATATAAAAATAGGATGATTTTTAAAAATTACATCAAGTCATTTAGATTTATTAAAGAGAGCTAATGGTTTGAATAAAGTTTTTATACACAAAGTTGTTCAATATTTTCCCCAAGGGTTAGGGTCATTGATTATGCTCAATAACTTTTCAAATTACATCACAACCCTCAGAATTCTACATCTCTTTAGAAGTTGAACATTTTAGTTATTTAGTTATATCTTTCTGATGTTGCTTCTCAGAAATATCCTGGAGTTACTATTTATATCTGATAGAGTTGTTTTAAGCATTTATTTTAAAAAGAGAGAAATCTGCTTGTATGTCAAATGAGTTTATAATAAGCTTGACATATAAATGGGAGAATGCCAGGTCCGATGGCATGTGGCATCAGTAGTCATAATAATACTGATGATGTGATAGTAATAATGATATTAGTAGCTGTCATTTACTGAGACTCTGCTAAGTGTCGACTGTGATATCTTGTATTCTACATGGATTTGGGTTTTCCTATTATCTAGAGTTGATGACTGAGGCTGGGAGCAGGATTCCTGTTCCTGGGTGTTGATATTGCCAAGCTGATGTCAGACTGAACAAGGGTATCCTGCTGGTATTATCTTCCTGAATCTACCAACAACTTCGGTGTTATTTTTTTCCAAACCATTTTCAATTCAGCCTCCTCCACTGTCTCTATAACCCAGATTCTGTAAGAAATATCACGCTCCCTCCAGGATCCCCTTATCTTAGTCTTATGGCCTCTTGGCATCTTTTATATAAGGGTCCTTCCAATTAGCCCTTTGGAAACACTCATCTAAACCCAGAAATTTCAAATATTTGGAACCAAAGATACCATAAAAATCTATTTGCATTTAAGCACCAGTGCTAGAAAAAGATGAACTATCTCACTTGATGATACGTTAATTATAAAAGAAAAGTATTTAAAATCCCAAGGTAAAATGGAACACAAATGCTGCAAGATAATCTCATTCTTACACAAGAACATTGCTATTTCCTCACTGTTTAGGAGAATTATAGTCTATTGCTTTTCTACATATTCACTTATGACATACATCTACAAATCACCCAGGATTCAGAGGTGGGCAGCTACATTATATGGGTTCATCATCTTTATTCTTCCCAGGTTACTTATCTTACCACGGTAGCACGCTGGAGCCCCATGCAGATGAAGACCCAGAATCTCCGTTGCTCTATAGAACCATGAGTGAAGCAACCCTGGTGAGAAAAAGGATGAAGCCTCCAATGATGGACAGAAGAGACAGACAGAACCATAGGGTCTCTATAAACGGACACTTTTATAACCATGAAGTGAGTTATAATTCTGTTACTATCATTTAAAATAATGTTGTCTTTTGTGATAACAATACCACACAATTCATTTTACAATAAAAATAGTAATAATAACAACAGTAAATAGTAGTAAATGTAATATTTATTGAGAACTCTTTATGTTAGGTATTTGACTCTTTTAAATTGATTTTGGTGAATTACATAATTAATCACTAAAACAACCCTATGAAGTAGGTACCATTGTTTTCCCCACTTTTCACATGAGTGAATTGAGGCTCACGGAGCTTACGCAATTTCTCTTAGATCACACTGCTTTTAAGTAACAACTCTGAATCTGAACTCAGCTTTGTCTCACTCCAGAACCCAAGTTCTCAACCAGTGTGATGGATGACCCCTATCTAAGCGTAAGGCCCTGTGCCAAACACTGGAAATGTAAAGATGACTTAGTTGGTGCCTCTGCCAGCATGGAGCTCAGGGCTTGGGCAAAGAAACTAGTACGTCAATAAATGGCATTAATGAAAATGCTACAGTAGAGATTGGTTCAAAGTACATTTGAATGTTAACATTTAATTAAAAGGAAAAATCAGCCACAGGACTATTTATTCCTAAATCAAACTTCTTATTTTGCCATTTCCCCTTCCAGGTCTTGTGCATATACACATATCATTTTTTTCACATACCTTTTTTTTTTTGTATAAGCATAGTTGTAATTTAGATACAATATATATTCTGATTTTTCACTTAATATGTTAAATTTACATGCACCTTTTCATAATATTTTTAAGACATTTCATTTTGTTGATGGTAGGAAACATATAATTTTCTTTTAGAACTCAAAATTGTTATATCACGTACTCTAGCAATTATTCATCCATTCAGTTAATAAATACTAAAAAAGCCCTCTGTGCCAGTCTCCATTCCAGGCCCTTTAATACAAAATATTAACTCATTCATCTTAAGTCTTTTTTCTGTAGGGCTTGCTACCTTATTCCTTCTTCTTCTATCCTTGCAGGAGTAATGTCTTTGGAGGCTAGTGGAGAGAAACCTCCCTGGTGAATTCTTTGCTCAAATTAGACATTTTCTGGCTCAAGAATTTCCTTCTGGCCATAAAGTAACATTGACAGGCCCTACAGACGTGCAACTAGTAATTGTCCTGGTTTCTTCTTCTCCCCAGAATTATGCTGTATGTCATCTTGTGGGGTGATTTGTGCTAAGGAAGGTTGTGAAAGTCACATTGTTCCAAATGAGCTGTTCCCCGATGGGATGCCCTCTGCGGAGAGTGACTGGCATCAGGTTGGCAGCACAGCCTGGGGGTTAAATGCACAGGTGCTGCAGCTTGACAACATGATTTCAAACTCTTGCTGAGCAGATAAAAAGTTAGCCTCCTAGCCTTAGTTCCTTCATCCTTCCTAGTTTAGGAGGTTGTTGATGGGATTAAAGGGAATGAGGTTAGTTAAACATTTAGCACAGTGTCTGGCACAGAGGAAGGACTCAATTTATATTAGCTTAATTGTTGACTGAAAGAGATCAAACTGGAACTATGGATATTTCATACAAATAATATAATATTCACTGCAATTTAATAACTAGCATGAAACAAAGCAAAATCCCCAAACTGAAAGCACTCTACCAGTGGGTATGCAAAGATGAGCATCTAAGAGTTTAACTTGATACAGCTATAAAATGTGTTTTAATATAATGAAACCTTGTTTCCAAGCATCAGTATTGTTAGGTCATGGCTGACACCTGTACCAGAGATTGTCATTACTTAGATTGTAATACTTGTAGGTAAGCTATGACTATGACTTGACTTGTGGCATATTTCTACCCATGATATAATAAATGAATTTATAACAGGGTTCCATTATGTATTTTGGCCAATAAAACTGGTATAAAGAATGTGGTTTCAAAATGAAACTCTAAAAAACAGGATTCCACATTCATTGCATTTTGGCACTCAGAAGGGCTCTTGGAGATCATCCCATTCAAATTTCTTATTTTTAAATGAAATCGTGAGGCCTTAAACGGCCTCAGTGTTGAGTGAGTTGGCAATGTTGGAGCTAGTAGACCCTAGATCTCCTGAATCCTAATCTAGTGCTGTTGCCAAACTCCATGAGGATTCTTCATATAAATGGTATCAAACCACATACCTGACATACCCTCACCTTGGTGCAGGACGAGCATGGGGATCTGCAGGGCTCCACAGGACTAGCACTGCTCTGAAGTGTCACAGAATGACTTATTGATGCCTTACAATGTCTACATACATTTACTTTCTTATTTAACAAAAGCTTATTACAGACATCTTCCACAAGCTCTCTCTGAAAAATTATTTTCATATCTAGATGTTTACTCACACAAATACTTTGTATACCTGCACTTGGATGTTTGTTTACTGATCTCCCCATATAGGGCTCATCTATCTAACATTCCACTAAGCTACCCCAAAACCTGTGCATCTCCATGTCTGCTGAACCCACACTCTTTCTAGTCTTGGAACACTTGGAGATAGCAATTATAAATGAGATATATGGAAATATACTTTGACTTAATGTCCTTTTTTATTTTATAAATATACATTTCATGCCATCTTCTTACATTCTAGTATGTAATGAGTGAGAAAAACTTTCTCCCTTTGTTATGCTCTGGCACACATTGTATCATATTTTCTCTAATATGAGTGTCATAAGTTATACATATACCATTAATTACCTACATTGTTAGTCTGTACTCACTATTTTTTAAAAATTTGAACATATATCATTTGTATCATAGGATTTAAAATTAATTTTATCTATTTATGATTGCTTTAAGGATTAAATTAGTATTTTTAAAGGGCTTAGAATATATCTTGGCACATAGTTTGAACGATGTCAAATCAATAATTATTTGGGAATTCTGTCATTTGTAGCAATAATGTCATTACTTTCAGGAATTATATATTCTGCCTAATAACCACTAACTTACTTACATATTGACTTGCCTTAATAGATCAGCCCATACCTACACACACACACATCTTAGTTCCTGTATAAATATAATGGGAAACATGTACAAATTAGTGAAATCCTAGCTGAACAAATTATGGGCCAGAACTTCCCAAAGTATGTTGCATTAGCTATTAATAGATATATTTAAAATGGATTTCATTTATTTTAAATTAGGGGTAATAATCAAATTATGAGTGAAGAAGCCATGGTTGTATGTTTATTATGATTTTTTTAATTACTAATTACTAAATTAGATTATAATCCCCAAAAGGGATGTCTCAGACTTATCTGACCCTGGGAACCTTTCACTAAGTACCATCTGGAAGGCAGACCGTTGATGAGAGCAGCTCTGGGACCACTGCTCTGCTTGGCTGTCGGTAGCCCTTTTACTACCACCCTCAGCTGAGATACAGTCTGAACCATACGAACTGCCAACACTTGACTAATTCTGACCAACCAGGAAAGAGTGATTTCATATGACTCACACTTAAATCAACCAGGAGGAAGGCATCGTATGTGAGTTTGAAAAATCTCACTCACTTTAACTAAAACTAAACACAGACAAGTGATTTAATTTGAAATCTTAAGCTATGCTGAAGAAACAGCATGCTTATCTAGTGAAAATGTTTTGAAGATCCTCAAATGATGTTCTACCTGAGTTACTCAAGAACCAACATAAAGCTGCCTAAAGGGATACATAATATTCAACAATAAGAAAACAAGAAAAACAAGCAAACAATCTTTTAAACTGATTATCTTGGATTTTTTTGCCCATAATAAGGCCCCATTCAAGATATCGACTCTTGTTAGTTTGGTGTAACCTTAAGCCCTTATACAACAGTATATATATATTTTTCTTTCTAGACATCAATTTTTACTCCGGCCTTTGGATCAGAAACTAAGGTCAGAATAAACAGTAACATGAGAACTGAAGAAGTAATAAAGCAACTTCTCCAAAAATTTAAGGTATTCTTTATCACTAATTGAGCTATACATATCTGTACATAATTTAGCTATAGACACATAAACTTACTCTTCTGAAAAAGGACCTATGAACATGTAAATCTAAATTAAATGTTCAGTTCTAAAGAATTCTCTCCTGTATATAAAGAAATTTAATAATTAAGCCCTGAGAAATACATTATTCCCAGGGAACAGAGAAGGTTTTATATCTGAAAGTGAGGAAAGAGATATATAATTTGGGTCTAGTTGGCTTAGAAAACATTATATGACAGCAAAAAATTCATGTCTGCTCATTTTTTTTCACTGACAGATTGAAAATAGTGCCCAGGATTTTGCACTTTACATTGTTTTCTCAACGGGAGGTAAGAAAGCTTGATGGCTCTCTTTACGTGACTCCATGGTGTTACCGTTTTCTGCCCGTAGGGAAAGCAGGAGATCAGTTTACCTTATTCCTTGGAAAAAAGGGAGGGAAGGAAGGTGAAAGAGAGCAAGAGTATTTTAGAAAATTATTCAAATTTCACAATTTCAGACGGACACAACCTAAGAATAAGATTTCCTAGAAGAGCTTATGATATAAAAATGTTTGCTTGTTGGCCAGACATCAAATGATCTGAATGACAGCAGAGCCCTGGGGTTCTGATCCATTGGGGTCCTCAAAACTGTTGGGGGTTTAACACATGGGCCCCTCTGTACTTGTTGCTCTTTGGCTTCCCCTTCTCTCTCTAGCTCCCACTGGAGTCAGCTCTGCATGCCATTTCTCTCTGGCCTTGTTATCTCTTCCTTAGCCCAGTGTCTGACAAGTTAAAGGAGTGTTACCTCTTCCTCAATAGAGAAAACTATGCAGAACTTTGTGGTGGGGGGAAAACGGTTAACAGCAGAGCATTGGGAAGAGGCCACAGGAGGGGTGCTGGGAGCAGCAGTGAGAGGCTAGAGAAAACCTCAGATGATATTGAAATGAAATTTTTGAAGACCTTCAAACTGAAAAAATAAATGTTAAGTTGTGGAACTAAGGTTGTAATTTAAGTGTCAGAATGTTTGAGGTGGAAATTGAATAAAATAAAATAATACATTTTGATACCAGAACAACTGTAAGAAACTCAAAGCTGAATCTTCAAACATATGGAAAGTTAAAGTTCTTATAAATTGAAAGCTTAAATACAAGAAACATCTATATCAATGTTTGAAAATTCTAAGAGTATATGTGTATGTGTATGTGTGTGTGTATATGATATATATATCATGTAGGTCAAGGACATGTAGGTTCCATCTACAATGCAATACATACATCTTACACTGTCTTTACTTTTTCGGAACTCATTCTAGCAATATTTATTAACATTTACAAAATATATGTCCTTTAGCCCAGCACTCCCAACTGGTGAGAATCTCTTTCACATAAAACAGAAAGACTAGTACCTATGGATTTATGTGCAGGGCTTTTATAATGACAAAAAGCTGAAGACAAAGTTAGCCATCACAAGGGAATGGTTGGCTGCATGAGGGATTATTATGCACCCATTCAATGGAGTGAATCGAATGTAGGAAATTCCATAAAACATTATGTGAAAAATGCAAGATGCCTAAAAATGTATATAATGTGATCCCATTTTTGTAAATCCCTACTTCAACATGTGATCTATCTATCTATCTATGTATCTATCTATCTATCTATCTAAGCATATTATCAGGAAGAAAGGTAGGGAATGATAAATATCAAGCCATTAATACCAATTACCTGGTTTTGAGGGGTTGAGAAGACGCAGAAAAGAGGATGAGAAGGACAAGGAACACAGAAGCAACATAAAAACAAACAAAAAAGACACTTAATCATGATATTTTAAAATGTAACAATAACGAGTTTGATATGACCACCATTACGTATTGCGCATCTGTGTGTGTGTGCATAAAGAGATGTATGTAGCGGTGGCCACCCAAAGAGGAATGCTGATTATCTCAGAGTTCTAGGATTCCAGGTCATTTTTAGTTTTTGCCTTATACCTATCTCCATACGTTCAATCATAATTGTGTTTTTTTCTAAGCTTTATTGGGGAATGATTGGGAATAACTGAAAAACAAAATTGTATGTATTTAAAATGTACAATGTGATGATTTGATACACATATACACTGTGGAATGATTACTAAGATCAAGATAATTAACAGATCCATCATCTCATATGGTTAACTTTTTTCTTGTAAGTATGCTTAAGATCTGTCAGCAACTTTCAAGTGTACAATACCATAATTTTAACTACAGACATTGTGCTGTATGTTACATCCTCAGAACTTGCTCTATAACTGTAAGTTTGTACTCTGACCTATATTACCCCATTTCCTCTCCCTGACAGCATGTGTTATTTTTATATCATATTTTAAAATAACATCACATATTATTTTACATTTACAAAGAGATTTTTAAAATTTGTATTTTTAAATCTATTTTCACTGTAAAAATGTAGTTCTTTCAAATATGATCTGTGAAAATCATGTATTCTTTTATATTTTGTATCAAAATCTCTTTTGATAAAATCCATAACTTAAGATAAATGTAACTACAACCTTTTAGGGGCCAGGAACAGAGGACAGAGTGGAGCATATAGCCCCTGTTGGGGTAGGAATCTGTAAAAGAAAAATAGGCATGTTAACACCTTGTATCTACTAAGCCCGTGGTCTATAACAGTGTTTCTTAAATTTTAGTGCATTTCAGAATTACCTAGTGAGTTCATTTAAAAATATAGATTCCTAAGCTCCTCCAGATCCAGGGACAGTCTGGGAATATTTATTTCTAATAATTATCCCAGGTGGCTATGAAACAAAGTCATGAAGCAAGACCCTTGCTCTGCAATATCAAGAATGGAATAAGCTGAGGATGCAAAACCAAGTTAATGTATGATGAAGGGGTCAAAAGAATATTCTGGCAGGTTAAGAGCAATTAAGTCATTAGGGTTCCCCTTGCTTCAGAAGTGGTAGAGGAATTAAAGCAATGAACTCTTTGAAAACAGGAATGGATAATGTCACTTTAATTTCAGGGAAGCTGGGCTTCTGTGTTCTAGACCCTTTCTTGACATTTTTTCCTGATGGAAATCCAGCCCAGGGAAGGAGAACAGTTCTGACTCCTGGAACTTTTAAGAGCCCAGGAGAATTGATTTCATAGATAGATGATAAGGTAGAAAGGATTAACCGGTCCACCCTTACCCCGTCAGTCTATTTCCACCTCAGCAATCTAAGTCAGACCGTGTCACACCTCTTCTCAAACTCTCCGAAGGTTTCACTTCTCATAGTAAAGCCAGAATCTTTACACCGGTCCCATTCCTTCCTCTCCTCATCTTTTATTAACCCTCCCCTCATCCTCTGCATGCAGCCACCCTGGTCTGTCGCTGCTCTTTGACGGCAGTAGGCGTGCTCCGACCTCGGGGGCACTTTATTACCGACTTGCTGTCTGGAACTCGCTCCCTCCGGAGAGCGTCACGGTTCTGCCTCTCCTCCCCATGAGGTCTTTGCTCGGGTGTTGGGTCTTCATCGAGGCCTTCCTCAGCCACCCTATAAATGATTGCAGATGTCTCCCCTGTGCATACATATTTACATATACACACCCTTCCCACCCGCTTCCTCACTTTATTTTTCTCTTGACTCCTTATCACAAACATAGGACGTGTTTTATTGATTTATCTTCCGTATCATCTGTCTCCCCCACTAGAAGGTAAGGTCCATGGGGAAGTGATTTTATTCTGTTCTGTTCTACAGTTACTAGCACAAAGAACAGCACATAGTAGGAACTTGAGAAATAATTGAGGAAGGAAGGAGGGAGGAAAGAAGACGAATAGTAGGGCACTGTGTTCTGCTCGTGCTTCATCTGGTAAAAATTAAATTGCAGATGTGAGTCCACTTTAACAGAAAGCTAGAAATGCTTTTGTGGTGGGAGTATTTATATTACAACTTTTGGGTATTTGAAGTTCTGGAAATAGACCAAACTCGGGGTTACTTTCTTTCTCATTCATTATTATAGCTGAATAGATGAAGCCCACAGATGAATGAAATAATAAAAATACTGACCCCGATGTGAAAAACACTCTAAATATATTTTTAAAGAGCCAAGGATTGGATGTGGGGTGAGCAAGAAAGGGAGAATTGAGGGTAATTACAAAATTTTGGACCTGAGCAACTGGGAAGATGGAATTACATAAACTGAACTAGGAAATAATAAATGTTGAATAAATGAAAATTATAAAGAATTTTTTAGGTGTGTGATAAAAGGCATAAGTGAGACTGGAGGTTTGTCTGACCATCCAAACCAAAGGCAATGCTGGATTCTCTGAGATATAAAGTCAAACCTTGAGCGATAGCAAGCAAAAGACGTCATTTATAGTTTCATGTAAAGTTTGTAATTTCAGTGTACTTTTTTGAGTAAGTGCCTCCTGTCACATGTTCTCTTTAGGTCTTCTTTCCAAGCTAGTGAAAGAAGGAAAATGAATGGACAAATTCTTTTCCTTCTTTTTCTCTAGGACGGACTCCTGACTGTAATTGATTCTTGTTTTCATTTGCAGAGCAGAGACGACTAAAGAAGACCGATGTTCCGCTACTGCATAGGCTCCTACAGGGACCTTCCAAACAGAACGCTCGCATTTTCCTCATGGATAAAGATGCAGAAGAAATTAGCAGTAATGTACGGACACGGTCACCTGAATATGGCTTTGCTTCCTCCTGACTCACCACTTCTCACATAATGCTCTTTCCTTTTCAGGTGGCTCAGTACATTAACTTTCATTTTTCTCTCCTGGAATCCATCCTTCAAAGATTAAATGAAGAAGAGAAAAGAGAAATTCAAAGAACAATAACAAAGTAAGTCAAGAGCAAACACACTGGGTGCTTGGTACTTGAATGGTTTCAAAGCACAAAGTGTGTCAAATTTTTAATACTCTTTTTCTCCTCCTTTTCAGATTCAATACAGAAAAGACGGTTATACTGAAATGTCTTCAGAGTAAAAGGGTAATAAAAACAGAGACAACAGTTTAGCAGTACAGGCCGCTATTCCTAGAACATTTCCACAAAAATACGAGGATGGCACTTTTTGATGAGTGCATCAATTCTATCCTTCAATCATGCAAATATACATGAACTTGAATCTATAGAAAACTGAATTTCGAAAAGCTTGTCTCTGAAGTGATGAGGTTGACTAGGGTTCACAGTTGGACTGAAAGGAACTTGAATTTAGTTTCAGTAACTGAAATAAGCTTGGATACTGTGTATTCTGATTTTTTAAAAATAGTAAAACACTCAATGAACTCAAATTTAAATAGCACTTTCAGATATCATGCAGCTTAAACTTCTTTTAGCTTGAACTTGTCGAGAGGACTGAAATACCATCAACTGACTTTCAGAAAGGATTTAGAAGTTAAAGCTGGTAACTCTTGAAATAAAAAGGCATCACACTCACACTCCACCAAGGAATGTGACAATGGCCATTTTTCACAGCTTCTTGGTAATGCTAACATTTTCATAAAATCTAGGGCTATCTTTAAACAGGTACCTAACTTTCAGCTATCTGTAACATCGCAGCTATCCTTTGAAAGGAAAAGATTACGGGCTCTGTTAAGAAACCTAGATTGAGATTTTTTCAACCTGAGTTCCCCCCCATTTTTTTTTTTTATCTATTCCACTCATGACTTTCAAAATATTCTTAAGCTTTTTTTCTTAAGGCAATTGAACTGGTTTTCCTTATTTTTTCAAACAAATACGCTACAGAAATTTTATATATTTCATCAGCTTTAGGACAATAAGTGGCCTGCAATATACATTTGTTGCTGAATGAGTACAAAGGGTAACACAAAACTATTGTGGCTGAAGCTAGGCAGGGGAGCTGGAGCTCAGCTCTTTTTCTCCAAATTCTACAAGGCAGCTCTCAGGTACTTAACAAGTCTGCTAAGCTAATTTGAAACAAAACAAAACACTGAGAATACCATTAGTATCATCTGTGATTTTATTTATGAACTCCATATTAAAATGGAGTTTTACACTGCATTCTCCCATTCTTTAAACTACTTCCATTTGCACTCCTCATAAGCATTAAATCATTTGATTACATTACGTCTACTAAGGGATAAGGTGATATGTAATAAAACCAGTTGGAAGATCAATGATTAAAATTAAAATACAAAACAGTTTTAAGACAAAGGTTTTACTTCTCAGTGTCACCAAAACCTAAATTGGATGAAACTGAAAGTGTTCTATGACCTTTTCAGTCCTGGGAAATCTCTCTTAACGGAGTAAAAACAGAGGCTTGCATCTTAATCCTTTTACCTATCAGTGAGGAAAGAGCCTCATCTTGCTAAAATAAGGCAAATGTAATAGTGAAAATTCAGTATACTTATAAAAAATTTATAGTGTCGAGTACTCGCCATAAACATGACAGAAGATTAATCACTAATATATTGAAAGTCTACAAAATATGTAAGAAAAATACCATGGCATGGATAGGAAAAAAACAGAGGCAGGCAGGCAGATAGCATGAAAAGTAAAATCACAGAAAAAATGCAAATGGCTACATATGTGTGAAAAAAGTTATATCTTAATGATAACTGTACTAGTCTGCGTCCATTCAGGAGACAGAAACCATAGAGTAATGTAAACAAGGGAAGTTTAATGTAAAGAATGATTAAGCTGTGATGGTAGAGCAACTCTGAAGAGGGAAGAGAACTCTGAAGGGTACCCTGAGGCTGAGAAGAAAGTTTCAGAAAGGAGAAGCTTGGAGTGAGGCCTTCAGAATTCACTGGAGAGAGGGAGGTTGCAGCCCACTGGAAAGAGGAGAACTTTGCTGGTGGCTTGGCCAAGCAGGGCCACAGTTACAGGACAAACAGGTACAATCTCTGCGGTGTGGACCAGCTGGGTCAGGTGGGCAAGTGTGCAGCGGGCCTTAGGGCTTCTCTGCGGGTAGTGTCTGTGTCTGCAGGTCTGCAGGGAGCGAAGTTTGGGAGCACAGGTAAGCTGAGGCTGAGGAGGGCACAGGCAGAATCAGGCATGCTGCTGTGGGGGAGGCTAGGATCGGGAGCAGGCCCCTACTGTAACACCCGACCCTGTGTGTGACTTGGGCTGTGTGCAGCATTTTTGAGGCTGTGTGGGACAAAGGTTGTGCCTCACTCAATGGCCAGCCCCACCGGCTCCTCCCTCTGTGAGCATGCGCGGAATTGAGCTGGTGTGAAGATGCACAGGCCTGCACTGGGCTCCAGGCTATGCCACCACAGACCAGATAAGAAGTTGGAGAAGGGCTGGAGGAACAAATGCCAGAGAAATCTGCGCCCTATAGACAACTAGCACTGGACAAATCACTCTGGGCAGAGAGCAGGGGAGGGAAAAAGCTTCCCAGCCAGTCAGGCCGTAGAATCAAGACCAACATCCTGCTACGGTTCTTCAGCGCCCCCTACTGACAGATCGTGACATCATGCAAGTTACAAAAGAAGGAAATGTAAGAGGTTTATTATCCATTTTCACCCAGACAATAATTAAGAAAGACTTCGGAATGGAGAGCCAATAAAATAACTGGCACGTCAAAAAAAACACAGAGTAAAGAAAAGTGAAATATACTTTTTGGTCTATTACATACCAAATATTAAGAAAAGATAATATTAAATACTCAACAAATTACAGTGAAAGGGTACTCAAACTGGTAGCAATACAAATGATAGAACTTTTCCTGAAAGCAATTTAGTAGTAAATTCATCCTGTAATACTACTTATAGGATCTTATATTTAATAATAAGATGTTCAAAGACATTATGTATAGATACTTTATTGCTGTTTATTGTGATAAAAGCCAATAACTAGCCTAACTGTTCAAAAATAGAAAAAAAAAAGATTAAAGAAGGGAAGAAACATTTGCCCATAGAATATTATGAAGCTATGAGAATTATGTTTCCAAATAAATTTTAATTATAAGAGTAAGTGCTCCTTATGTATCTAAATAAAAATATACATACAAATATTCCAAAATACTTGTTATCCATAAAATATGTATTTATATATATTTGTATGTACACACTCACAAACCAAAAACATGTTAAATCCAATTGTAGAATTATGGGTGATTCACATTTCTCTATGCTTATTAAATGTTCTATAATGAACATGTGTTACTTTTTAAATCAGGAAATAGAAAAGTTATGATTAAAGTTACCAACAAAAAGCAGCAAGTACATGCAAACACAGTTATATTAGATGCAGAAAAGCTCAAATAAATTATTTAAATGAGATGTTAATATCACTTCTGTGACAGTTTTAAAATATATCCATGAAGTTTTTGATATTCCTACTTTTGAGAGGTGGAGACTAATCCTCCTCACCTTGCAAATGGACTAGACTTAGTGACAGTTCTAATGAATAGAGGAAAGTGAAAGTGACAGCATGGACTTCAAAGACGAGGTCACAAAAGTCACCGTGGCACCTCCTTGCTTGTTCTCTTGGATAACTAGCTCTAGGGGAAACCAACTGCCATGTCATAAGCCCTGGGGAAAGGACTACATAATGGAAACAGAGACCTTCTGTCAAAGCCAACAGGGAATTGAGGCCTCCCACCGTGGCTGTGTGAGTGGGCCTGTGCCACCCCCAGTCAAGCCCTCAGATGACTGCAGCCCTCTCTAATAGCTAGACTACAGCCTCACGAAAGACCTTAAGCCAGAAAACCGAGCTAAACCGCTCCTGGATTCCTGATCCTTGGAAACTGTGAAATAAGAAATGTTTGTTGTAGTATGCTGCTAAATTTTAGGACAGTGTGTTATTTAGCAATAGGTAACTAATGCAAGTTCTGAGACACAAATCTCTTCACTTCAGAATCATGTTTGCATGATACAAGAATATATACTTTTTCACAAAACCATTTATTCTTGTTTTATGTGGTCCAAATATTTCATTAGCAGTTATATTCATTTCCAGATAATGGTAGGCTTATTATTAGTAGCAGAAAACCTGTTACATTCACCTTTGTATACTTTGCTGTACTTAATGCTGATTCTTGTGTACAGGAAATATTTGATATAAACCAACTGAATAAAGGACTGAGTGAATTAGTGAATTAATAGAAGAATGAGTGAATGAATTATCTGAAATATTTTTATAAAATCTTGTATATTTGCCTCTTTTTTCACAAATCTGACCCAGTGCCTGAAGAAATATAAAATGTTTTCTATATGGTTTTCCCTAATTTGGTGACATGTTTTATTATTATCTCTTGGCTGTTTGAAATATACATTTAGGCAGAGTTACTGGGGAATTTTGTTTAGGGCTATTCAGGTTGGTTTCAGGATCCAAAGAGGAAAGAAGTCCATTTGCAAGGCAGTTGATGAAGTGGAAAAAAGGGCGGGTGTCACTATTATGTCGAGAAAGAAAGGAATAGGATGCAGTTAGGGCAAAACCTTCAACAGCATCCGTTTGACTTCTCCATTAATAATAACAGCTAACACCTATTAGACTGAGTCATTGTATGTAAGTTACAGAAGCAGCAATTTCTTATGTGCAAACTAACAGCGCTTACCATTCCCTAGCACTGGTTGAAACTTTACATATATTAGCTCTTTTGTGTTTATTACAGTCTCATGAGGAAATTACCTTTCAACTCTATTTTATAGATGAGGAAAGTAAGCCATGGAGAGGTCAGGAGATTTCCTAAGGTCTTTAGTAGGAGTTACATAGGATTTGAACCTACAGCTGCAGAATCCACAATCTATGACCTCACCTTAAACTGCCCTCCCTCAATCTGGCAATCTTTGTGTCCTCATTTGTAAAATGGGAAGAACAGCACAGACTTCACTGGATTGTTGTGGAAATTATAGGGATAATAGATGTAAAGGCTGGCACTTTGCATATAAGAAGTGTGATAAATCTTAGCTGTTGTTATAATTAAACTCCGCTATGCCCCCCATCCACCACCGTATCCTGATCTTTGGCTAAGTCTTAGTGTCCACAGCTGCTTCATTTTTGTCTTAAAATCAGCCAAACTGAATCACTCACCATTCCCTGAAACACCTCCCACTACCACAATCTCTACTGAAACTGTGCCCATTTCTAGTTCTGGCCAGCCTTGCCTCTCCCATGACCTGCCCTGGTCTCTGTGACATTGTGTGATCTCAGACCCGTGTGCCACATTATCAGTCCTGCTCCTGTAACAACCGGAAATTTGAAATCTGCCCTTATCATTCCTTTTGTGTCTTATATAAATCCATGAGCGATCTGGTCTTACCATATTCATATTATTCCCTGCCATCTGTACCTAACACAGTGTATTGAACACAAAAGGTACTTAACAGATATTATTGGATTTAATTTGCTAATGTAGTTGAGCATGTTGAAATCACTGGAATGAAGAAAAACTGCTGACAATCCAGTAGAGAGCACTATAATGAGAATTAGACTTTTTCTCTAATCAAAATAATTCATTTATTTAGTAAGCATTAAAATATTACTGACATTACAAAACAAAATTGGAAAAATAAAAATAAGCCCAAATGAAATCCTTTATGTCATTTATGCCAGGATTTCTGGGGAAAAGACTAGCACTGCAAACCACCCCTGAAAGCTCACATGAATGTAATCATGTAAGGATGCTTTGGTTTTGGGACCTGCATCACACACAGAGCATGAAGATAAAAGGGGGGTGTGGGAGAAAGGGGTGAAAGGGGTCAAAAAGGTAAAGCATATTTAAAAAATAAAAATAAAAAGGAAGAGAGCACACTTACTGAAAGGAGTGTACAAACACAGAGAAAAGAAACATGAAAGAATGAGAGGGAAAAGAATGGGAAAATGAATGAACATGTGAGGGAGTCTCCCAAGGCCGAGGATGCCGCATTAGCTGTGGAGTCAGGGGTGTAAAGGGCACAGGGCTAGCCACTGGGTTAACAGTTCACGGAAGGGATTCCCATTCTATTCTCAATATTGTGAGAGGAAACTGCTGCCGTTTGGGATGGATGCTTTAGGACTTCTCTGGTGTTGAGTCCGTAGGTAATTGTGTGCCTTGCCATGACAAAGAAGCACTAGGGCACAGGTTAAGAGCCTCGTTTCTGGAGATAGATCCTAGTTTCAAACAAGCTGGGCAGACTTGGGCAAGTTACTTAGCCTCTCTGTGCCTCAGTGGCCTGATCTGTAGAATGAGAAAGTTAATAATAGTACCTGCCTCTTTAGGTTATTTGCAAGGATTAAATGAGTTTTTACACGTAAGGACTTGGACGAGTACCTGACACAGTCAGCACTCTGCTGGTTACTTTTATTTGTGCAGCAGCAGGACATTAAGGAAGCATGTGTCATTAGGGCATAGGCTGTTGCCAAAGCAGACTAAGGAAGCCTGGCACTCAGGAGACAACACTGGGCCAGCAGGACCTCACCTCCTGCTGTCATGACCTTTTGGAGCTTTGCAGGTAACTTAAAGAGACTCTTAGCAAACAGAATGTTAAAATACATTCTTGATTTAATATCTTCAATGCCATGGGCTATGAGGTCAAGTCCTAGCCCTAGTCTGACAGTGAAAAAGAGAGAGACAACAAAAAGGGAAGACATATGTTTTCACTAACCTCCACTAACAGGTACACTTTATGAAGGTAGGGACTTTATTTTGTTTTGGTCATTGGTGTATTGCAAACTCCTAGATCAGTGCCTGGGACACAGTAGATCCCACTTAATATCTGTGGAGTGAATGAATGTTAAGAGCAGCTCCAAATACCCTACCCATTCCCCTCCTTCTCAAAAAAAAAACAGTTATGAAAGTAACTTTATTATAAAGCACATTTCATTCAGCTCATTAAAAAATCACTTTCAGTAGTGATATAGACAGAAACTTCAAATTGCATTGGCATATTTTTCACTCTGGAAACCCAGCAGCCAGCTCCCAGCTGGATTTGGCAGCCCATTACATCTACCTGAGGCTTTTGAAAGGCCCCTTGATTTCATATTTCTGGTGCTTCTTCTGAGAAACAGAAAGCTTCTGGTGGCAGGGGCAGGGGCAGGGGATGAACTGGTCCTTGTGAGGGTTACAATAAGTAGATTTCTGTGCTAAGTAGGAAGGGAGAGATTAGTGTTCCTGAGGAACATTGTGAATAGCTGAAAAATGATTTTGTTGATTCTTGAGTATTAGACATGCATTTCTTTATTCATGAAAAATAAAATGCAGATCAAAGCAAAGATCCTACACAGACACTTTGTGGGATCATTTAGCCTCCCAGGAGAGCTTGGCACTTTACCATCAGTTTGAAGCCCTAGAAAAGAAAGCAAACACATCTGTGAGAATGAGGAAAACAAAACAAAACAAAATTTTAAAATGCCTCAACAGCTCTGAGCCCCAGTAGAAACTTTAAGACTTAATGGTTATATACCTGAGACGGGCTCTATTTATGCCCAGTGCTCAATGTCTCAGAATTTCTCACAGGCCTAGTCCCTTACTTTAAGGACTTAATTCACTATAATACCTCTCCCACTTTCAGGGCCCAGGTGTGAAATAAATATTTGCTTCCTACTCACAAAAATGTGGGACTTTTTTGCTGCAGGGTAAAACAGATAATCTGCATCAGCTTCTTCTTGCTTGTTAAAACTGCTCTAGGCTAATCCCCATGAAATGATTACATTATCAGGTACAGGAATGCAAGAGGACCGAAACACCGCAATTGATCAGAAGATCTCCACCCACATCATGTTTACTAATATAGTAAGTCTAGCAATTTCCCCCCATTTTTACCTGTATAGTCTTCATTCAAATAAAAGTCATTTTTGGAAGCCCAGATGGATAAAATTGAAATCATCTTTAGCTACATAGGAATGGAACCCCTAAAGCTATGCACACATGTACACATCCTGGGGGACAGATGACTTGCACTCTTGGAAGCTCCTAGGCTCCTGCGGGAAATGGTTAGAAGTCTATTGATTTAGTCCTTCTGTCCCAGACCGTACTACACCTAAACCATCTATAGAGACCAGAATCTTGTTATGTTTATTTTTTTAAAATACCTCTGCAGTTTAAGGTATCCTTGCTTCTTTGGTAATCCTTTTTATTTTTCAAGTCCAACTTCATGAGATATTTCCCCATAATCTTAACCTCAGGACCCTCAAATTTAATCTTGCTCTTTTGCTCTGAACCTAATGATAGTGGGAAAGTCATATTCTCCATATCTGTTCTTCCTGGCTTCATTATTCCATAGTCGCATGGTAGATTTCTAATTCATTATGATGACCAATGCTGGGGGAGAAAAGTTTCTGGTAAAGGTAAGGTGGAAGGAAGGCACTGGAGAAGACTACTTGATGATGAGGAATGCCCTGCATGCAGTAAGAAGTGATGATGACTCCACATCTTGAGCTGAGACCCAAGCAAGGTTTTGAAATACAAAACAGGGATTCATATGATGGAATGCAGAGAACAGAGAAAAGAAAGAGGAAATTTCTTCTTACACTGAAACCATATTTGCTACTCTTTGATTTCCTATAATCCTGGGCATGTTGGAAAACTGCTAACCTCTCACTCAACCTAAGACTTTGGGATAAACATTACCAGTTTATTTTTCTATATCCTGTGACATGCTTTTCAATCCTTTTTCCATTCTAGGTACTCTCTGGACATAAAAACTTGTCAATATACTTTTAAAATGTGTTGTCTCCCATCTTTTCCAAAATCTCAATGCAGTAACAGTAAAAATACACAATAAGAGAATAAAGCCCTTTGATTCTAAAAGGGGGGAAAAAAACCAACACCATCAATCTCAGAGATACTGATGAAGTCCTGGGGGGAAAAAAAGCAAGCCATTGATACATTAACCAATATATCAAAATACAGAAACAGGAGCTCAGAATTGGTACATGAAGAGATGTACCAGCAGTAAAAGACCAGCAAGTGATTGGTTTCTGAGCTCCTTTAGTTCTTTTCTGCTGCCTACCCCATTTTTCAAACTTTCTAAAGATTTCTGAAGTCACCACTATCCTTTCAATAAACTAATTTGTACTTGGGTTGTCCAGAATCTGATCCTACTATTTACAACCCAAGAATACCAAATGACATACCATCAGCAATATGAGGACAAAATAATATTTAAAAATGCAAGGACCCAGAAAGTTTATCTCCCAGGTGCCCATTCTGAAAAAATATGTATGTAACATGCACACACACATACATATCTTAAGAATATAGCCCAGCAAAATTTAAAAGAATCCAAGAAAAAACACAAATTGGAT